CAGGTGCCTGCTAATGGCAGGGGAAAACCTGGCAAATTCAACCAGCCACTGTTTTCTGATGCTCAGCTGGTATGCAGGTGAAAGCAGGCTGACCAAACCCGGGGGGGTGGGGGGATGATCATCATCACTGTTTGATGACATCACTTCTGGCATGACCTGGAAGCATTGGCATCAAGCCAGGGCGATGCTCTAGCACATGGGTGTCAAACATATGGCCTGCAGGTCGGAACCAGCCTGCCCAGGGCTCTTATCAGGTTCATGAGCAACTGGTCATTACCCTTATTGCCAGATGACAGAGGCTGTGCGTTATGTCCTTGTATACTGCCCCAGTGCTAATGAGTAATAGGCAGTGGAGAGTGGGAGGGTGTCCATCAGAGAGATTCTTTAAGGAAAATACTGTAAGATAATGTTTTAAGCATGTTTATATTTTGAGAGAAAAGCAATATCATTAATTGAGTTTGCCTGTGTCCTGATAAAGTTTATATCTCCCAGGGCTCTTTTTGTAGCAGGAACTCCTTTGCATATTAGGCGACACACCCCTAATGTACCCAATCCTCCAAGAGCTTACAGAGCTCTTCTTACAGGGGCTACTGTAAGCCCTTGCAGGACTGGCTACGTTAGGGTTTGTGTTGCCTAATATGCAAAGGACTTCCTGCTACATCTCCCATACCTGGCATTATATTTTATGGCACACATGGCCTGGCCCGACAAAGTGACATTTATGTCAGATCTGGCCCTCATAATAAATGAGTACAACAGTGTTTTAGCACTTGTCTCAAAACTCTATGGTTTTCACCTCCCTCCATCTGCTGCCGGCTGCCAGGTTTGGCAACCCTTAACCCACACTATTAAAGCAACTTTAGAATCTGGGTAAATTTGTAGACATGCTTAAGAGGACATAACAGATTTTCTCGCCCCTGATTATCAATAAGTGAAGAGAAACGGAGATGCTATGGACATCACTATTAAAAGCCACACACAGGGACCTGTGTTTGAGCCTTTAGATAGGAAAGGAGCTTTCTACTCTCTGCCCCCTAGTTCATACCCAAAGCACAGAGCGGTACCTTCTACAACATTCATATATTGCCACTGCAATAAAGGTAAGGAATATATTTGCAAATAAGATAGAAGAGGTATGAATAAAAAGGCCTAAGAAGCACCAGGAAGGGGGAAGGGGGAGAGGAATGAATCATGCAAGATATCCAAATCCCAGAATTTCATTTATTAATCAATTTGGAGATTTGTTAAGACCAGACATAAGCTTTTGTTGATTTAAACTAAGTATATATTATACACCCTACCAGCATGGTGAAAATAATATATATTAAGCAGACTGGCATTTCTGCATATGACTTACTGAAAAAATGAAACTAGGGTAACATCTAGAAGTTTAATACACGACATTCCATCCTAAAGAGTTGCCTAACATGAATCAAAATAGCTACACTGGTTGAAATACATCACTTTAATTAGTTCAGTATGCATTGGCACCCAGACACTGCTAGAATGCAGTCTTGAAACCACTTCAGTGGTGCCCTTTGCGTGTAAGGGATTTCAGAACTGCCGCCTCCGTTTGGACTGATCCTGGGATGGTTTATAAAAAGAAATATAGGTGGTTTGGCCAGCCAGCAAACCTCATAGGAGGCTTAATAACTGAAACAGCTGCTGCATGAAGCATGGCCAAAAATGGTTTGATTAGTTAGGCTGGGAGCAAGGATTCAGTGTCAGAGGTTTGCACTGAAAGCTAGCCTAAACATGATCGGGTACAGAATGGTTTATGTGCAACTTGATCTCTCTTAGGGTGTACATCTTTTCTTCTGGGCCACAACTAAATCTTCTTTGTTGCTTATTAAACCTCCTGCTTCAGTGATCTTTATGCTCTTCAGGATCAACACCAAACTTATAGCCTTTACATTTGCTACCATAAGAACATCTTGGAACTGAGGGGAAGGTTCCCACAAATTCATCATAAAGGCAGTGCGGGTCTCCTCAGTTTCAAGAAAGGCTCTGTCACAGTGACGGGACCCAGCCATTACATCTGTGAAAGAGCTTTCCAAACCATTTCATTAATATGTGCCCTGCAGGGAAGTAATCATAGTCCAAACCCAGAGAGTTATATACAAGGCTTTCCTGGCCTGTTTGTCCACTACTGAACTAATAGTTAGCATCAAAAGCTCTGCTAGCACCAACTATGGGGGTGGGTGGGATTATAGGTGTAAAAGAAATTAAGGGATTACAAATAAGAAAGCAGGAGATTTAAATAAAAGGATTCCTTTTTAAATTATCTTTTTTTATTTGCAGAACAACTTTATTAAATCAGGATTAATTATTTGAGGATGATAAAAACAATCAAAGATTAGGGGGAAATAACACAAAATACCTCTGATTTTCTTCCACATTTAGGCTAAGAATGTCGATTCTTCTGTGCTAATGAACAGGTTGAGGGATATCATAAGAAGGAGCCAGGGGGCAAATAGGCTTTTTGGTGCTGTATTACTTGTGATGTGAGAATGCATGTTAGACTGGCTCCATTCAGACTAATGTGAATGTTTGGTATCACGTGAACAAGACACCCTCCTCCTGCCAGGACACTGACTTTTCCTCCTAGTTCTTGGCAAACCATTGTTTGCCAATGTAGCTAAACCACACAAAGGCTGCAGTCAGACATGCCTTTAGATCCAACTCAGCTGCAAATGCCTGATGGATCTAAAGGGCTTGATTAGACAGCAACATCTGGGAAAGGTCATCAGCACCCCGTGCTGCTCCGCCACAGAAGTGGAGTTAAAAGTCACTGGGGAAAGTCCAGTCTTAACTGGTTCCAACGGGCCACAGACAGACTTTCCACTATCTGATCACACAAGCACACTCAAGCTGTCGGGATGGGCTGCCCCGTCCATCCCGACTCGGTGCCATTTTTTTTGCTTGCTTAGCAATATGCGCATAACCGCATTAGCGATCCATAGTCGCAGACCACCACAGGGGTTCGATTCTTCATTTATGTGCATGCTGGGAAAAGGAAAAGAGAAAAAAAACCCGCTCACCTGAATGTGCTGTCTGATCGATTTATGTGCATGCTGGGAAAAGGAAAAGGAAAAAAAAACCCGCTCACCCGCTGTCTGATTGGAGGAAATAGAATTGTTTCCCCTCCATGCCAAATGGCACATCTGACCACAGCCAAACTGTGTTTTGTGCAAGCTTTAGCCTACCAGCAAACTAGGATTGTAGTGGCAAACTACAGTTTGCAAAGGACCAAGAAGTGTTGGAGGAAACAAGAGCACGTGAGCACAAGAGGAGGAAAAACCCAACGTTATTCCACATGCATTCCAAGTCATGATTTGCATCTCATTACAGTTTCTATCATGAACACATTGTACTCCCAAAAGGCAACATGGAAATCATTAGAAGACATAACAATATTTTTTTGATTTTGTTTTTGATCCAGTGTAACCTGTATCACCTCACTGAGTCAGGCAAAGTGAAAGGGCCATAATGTTCACAGTTCATCAGTGGGGCATGCAGGTTGAAACATGGTTTCCAAGATTCTTTAAAAATGTAACTCACTTCGTTCCCCAGATGGAAAAGCAGAACACACATATAACTGATAAATAAATAAAAGGAGTTCAAGCAAAATAAGTTCACGACATCTGGGCAAGCTTCACACTTAGTAATTCTCATCCCTATCCAGTCTTTACCTATATTGGCATATCTGTTACCATGCAAAACATTTGAACAGCCCAGACTGAATGCTATTAATTTATTTGGAAAGTAAAAGGAAGAGACAGAGATGTCTTACAATTTCTGAAGCCCCCCAATCCAGTTCTAACTACATGAGAATGTCAATCAACATGATCCAAATGCACAGACCAGACCACTTCATAATTTTGAAGGTACATCTAATTTATGCCAACAATACCAGTGCTGTTGAGCAATGTGCACATGAAAGTATGCTTACGCATAAGGACCTTCTACTTGTTCAAGGACATAATTATATCACTACGCTTTGCTAAATAATTACATAAACAGTTAAATAATAAAATAGCTAAATGATAAAATAATTATTGGACCTTGTTAAACATGCCACAATGCCAGTGTTATATTCCCATCTAGTAGAGGGGAAAAGAGCAGCACATCTGTTAAAACTCAAGCACAATGGTTGGCTCTGCACTGGAAACAGGACGTGTAACTCAATCACCTCGGATTTCTAGCCATTTTTAATGCAGAAGGATTTTTTAAAATATAATTCTCCGAAACATATGCTAAGCTCTCATAGCTTTAACATGTGATACCCTTTCTGCCCTGCTACTTGCCAACATAAACATTTTGTTTTAAGGCAGAACTGGGACAAGTAGGTGATAATGGCTTCTAATTTTGGATCCATGTGAAAGGCTGATATTATGGAGATAACCATTACTAGATTTCATATTTTCCCCTTTCTACATGATATAAGCATTTAGTTTCTTCCCCCCTGCCAATCCCATCTCCTCTTTACAGTATCTCCATGTTTGTGCTCTACTTGTATCTTCTCTTGTATCTCTGAACAATGCCACAGTAAGAATGCCCTTACCAGTGCTCACCCCAACCATACATGCAACTAACACAATTACTGCAACCCTGAAAATGCACAGTTGTCTCAAAGTGAATAACACAGTCCAATGAACCAAGTTCAATATACCGAACACCATGATTATAGAATATGTTATTAAAAGCATCAATTATGCATTAAAAATGATAAAAATGGTATAGCTCATTTTTAAAATGGATATGTTGCAGTGTGCAAAATCCAAGTATATATAAAATGTCACACACTTACCAGGGACTTCGTAAAAGGACGAACCAAAGTAAACAGCAAAGTATATATCCACCAACTGCGATGAAGAGATGAATATATTAGAGACCCAGGATGCAATGCATTTGATGTCACTCCACGGGGTGAAAGACGGCGGTTGAGCTCATTGGATATCAGAATATTACACAGTTTCGACCGATTGTAGGCTAGCATAGGCCAGTAATCTTTCTTAGGCGGAGAAAGCCGATTGAAGTCAAGTTTTCCTGAGCAGTCATTAATGTCTGTGAACCTTTAAAAAATAAATGGGGGGTTGTCATCTGAAGCAAAAAAAAATTCCTCTTTTTAAAGCATTTGTTTAATCAGTATCATCAGTGAATCTTTACTCCATAAGTGAACTCAGTTGAGCTGACAGCCATTACAAACTCACAATTTATTTACCAAATTCCTTAAAGTGGAATTGAAATTGAGAGCCAGTGTGGCATAGTCATTAAGAGTGTTGGACCCAGGGTTTGAATCCCTTAATCATCTTGGTTGCCCTCCTTAGAATTTTTTCCAGCTCTGCAATATCCTTTTTGAGATACAACAACCAGTACTTCACAAAATATTTCAAGTAAGGCCTTACCACAGTTTTATACAAGGGTATTACGATACTGGCTGTTTTATTTTCAATCCATTACCAATAATACCTAATATGGGGTTCATCTTTTTTTCACTGCTGTCCTACCTAATATGGGGTTCATCTTTTTTTCATTGCTACACTGGGTTTATGTTTTCATTGAGCTTTCCACTACAACCCCAAGATCTTTTTCAATTTTAACAAATTCTTGATTTTTCAAAACAGAAAACAGGTCAACCTTTGACATTTATCGTCTCTTTATTTCTTCCAGTGTGCAACTATTGCATACTCCAGAGTTTAAAAGTGCCCAAGCAGCTACAGATGAGACCTGCTTGCTTCTTAGAATCTTTTATAATTAAAAATTGATGGTTAGAAAGGGGCTGTAACATTGGTAATACACCATCAATAGCCTTAAAGGTATAAAAGATAAATGTGAACAAAGCCGGAATGAGCTCTAGAGGAGTCTAATGTTTTAAGTATACCCATGGCATGACTGAGCACAAATCAAAGTAACTAGTTGATGTTTTTTAATTGGGTCTGACAGAGTCATTAAACACCAGCTGTTTGTTTCCTTCTTTTTTCCCCTTTAAATAACAACAAGGTAGGAAACAAGCCTCATATGAAGACAAGGTGGGGTTTTTTTGTTAGTTTGTTTTTTGCCTAGCTTACCTGCCCTTATATTTGGGGTGTATTAAACATAAAATAAATTGCAATAATGGTCTAATGGAATGCATCTAAGGCCCTTGAACTGGTCATACTGTCTTAAGCCTAACTTGCCTCATAGGGTCGCTGAGAATACAAAATGGGGGGAAGGAGACAATGCACACCACACTGAGCTGCTTGGAGGAGGATCAGGATAAAAATCTACCAAATAAACAAATGATACCATTTGCATTTTGCATCACTTTAACCTTTTTTAGCTTTCCCCCTTCTATGTCAATGCATACAAACACACATAAACTGAAGGTTATGTGTCTGATTAAATAGGTTCTTAGCCCATGAAAGCTTCTGCTCTGATAAATCTGTTGTCTTTAAGGTGCTGTGAGTGTGACTCGGTTTTTTTTTAGCTTTTATGGACAGCTTATTTTACTGGAATTTCTGATCTTGTTAGGATTTTACTATGTATGTTTTAATTTAACTGCTTAGATGGCCCTTATAAGGGCAGAAAGGCAAGCGATAGATGTTTTAAATAAATAAATAAACAAATATGCCTTGTAGCAGCTAAGGGGTGTGAGAGAGAGGGGAGAAGGCTCTGAGGCATCAGCCTTTTGGACTGAAAAATATCCAGTCCCCCACTCAGGCCTCTCCTATAGGATCTTTAGACCCCCCCAACAAATTAAAAAGGGGACACAAGCTTTAAAGTAAAGATTAAAGCTATGTGCTCCCTAAAAACCTCTTGTTTGGAAATCTGCTAGACCAAGACTGTACTTATTTGTGAGGTAAACAGACATCATATTTTCTTAGATATTTGACTTGACAGAAAAGACACAGATGAAGATGAACAACCAACAGAAAATAAAGTATTTTATAAGGTAATGTGTGGATAACTTAAACATATAAAGTAAAGCTGGCTCTCAAGTACAGTAAATTAGCACTGAGGGCAGATTTGATTCCCCTTTCTCTTAACAAGTTACCTCAGCAGGTTCAAGGCTACTCTTTTCTCTCACAGAGCACCTTACCACAGAACCTACATACACCAGTTAAAAATGAGGAGCCCTTAACATGATGCTTATTTATCACACTATAATAAGCTTTCTTCCCTAAATTGACCTCCAAACTCAAACTAAAAGCCAAATAAAAGCCTGGCTAAACTGATGCTTCTTTTCCAGAGCCACGAAATCCAAAAGAAGAAAGATTTTCGTCACCCTTCTTAAGCTGAGGATGGTTCACCCCCTCCCATCCAGTGGAGTTCCATGGGCTCTGATTGGCTGACAATCAGGTGAATTTGCATAAAGCCTAAATCACAAAGATTGGTTCAGAACCCTGGAGGAGAGGCAGGGCTTTTGAGAATGATCACCACAGCCCCCTGGAGTGAGGTCTTGAGAAACTGCTGCATGAGGGGAGAATTGCTCCAACTTGCACATGCAGACCATTATGACGGGATCCAACCTCAAATATTTCCCTTTTTGGGGGAAATGCCAGGATTGCCATGGGAATGTGAATTATTCCAACTTAAAATGCACCACTGCATCAAATCTCACCCCAGTGTGTAGCTGGAGGATGATGTGCTCATTCTAGTGCCTTAATTGGGTAATAACAGAAGTCCTCTGATACTGATATCCTTTTCTGAGCAGTCAGATGCACAGAATGCTGCCTGTTTCTGCCCAATCTGTTATTTACTGGATCATGAAACTAAGCACCAACCTGCTCATAAGCCACATTGCAGTTGATCCAACATACCTGTGAAGTATGTTAGGCAAAGAGAGAATTACTAACCCAAGGTCACTCACTGAGTTTTGTGGCAAGTGGTGGGGTTTGAATCTGGGTATAGTGAGGTCTAATCAACACTCTGTCTACACACATGGAATGTCTGACTAGGGTTCTGGACTCAATCTCTTACCATAACTAGAAAGACGAAAAATGGAATAAACCATGTGCTTTACTACTTTCAAGAGCTACCTCTTTCTAAGCTAAGATTGCCAGTTCTGGCTTAGAAAATAACAGGAGATTTGGGGCGGGGAGGTTGGAGCCTGGGGAGGAACCTCAGGAGGGTATAACGCCATAGAGTCCAGCTATTTTCTTCAGGGGAACTGATCTTGGTCATCTGGAGACCAACTGAATAGTGGGAGATCTCTAGGTGCCACCTGGAGGTTGCCCCCCCCCCCTATTTTTAAACTCATCCTAAAATGTTCTTGTGGCATCCTAAGTAGAGTTACACCCTTCAATGGATTTAGAAAGGTGCAATTCTTCTTAAAATGGCACTGCAAATATCTCAGTATGAGTGTCCAGTCTCATTTCATTGCATTTCCTTTTACTTCCAGATGGACTGAAGTTAGAGCCCTCCAAGGGTCGGGGGGGGGGGGAGCAGCCACCAAGGATTTGTACTATCTTCAGCCTAAAAAGACAGCAAGCTACAATTTCCTGAGTTGGAGGAGTGAAAAATTAGTAACCAATACTGGGCTTGGCATTTCCAAGCACAAAACTGTCCCAGGTAACAAGATGCAAAAGCTAACAAGCTCTCAGCAGTGGCTTCTGCTACTTCTCCAATTTACGAACTAGAAACCATTTCAATGATTACTTTATATGTGTAGGTATGATTTAATGCATGACAAACTTGTGAGAAATGGAAAAGCAATTAGTTTCTTCAGTTCTTAGATCTGGACACACACCATTTACTTATTGTTGGATAAGTTTCCATAAACCTTGGCTGATCTTGCATGGCTAAAAAGCCAACAAACACACCAATGTCTTCTTGTTTGTTTCCCCTTTTTATTTCGAATTAAGCTTTAAAGCTCTGTGAAGACATGAAATTGAGCTCCATATGACACCAAAGGGGTGGAGGAGGGGGCAGATAAAATCCCTCAAAAGCAAAGATGACATTAAAAAAAACTATTGAAGATCCAGACATTACACCAAGAAACAAGCAGCTGACAATTCAACATAATCTCCCATTAAATAACAGCTCATTTATACATATCCCATTGTGCCCTCCACATCTGGCAAGTGATTGGAGCTGGCAGATTTATTTCTAGTGCTAACTCGCCTGCCCTGCAGTGGCCCTCCTTCCCTAGTAATGGGACTCTGCTTCTCGCTTTCATAAACCTGGTGTGATTTGCAAAGATAAGGGCATCCAGGATTTTTGTTACCACCTAATTACTAGATGTTTCATGTCTTTTAACACAGGGGAGGATTATTACTGGCATGTTGTATAGCCCCTGTTCACTGCAGCTACCATAAATTTAAAACGGTTAAAGTAAATCTATCTGCAGTGTGTCATTTATACTATAAGCCCTTGTGTTTGGAAGTGATAAAGGGGTTCAGCCTGACCTTTGGCTGGTCTCTCTCTGCCAGGTCCCAGGAGTTGAATTTTAGGGAAGCATGATTTTAAGAAGTAAGCTTCGTTTTAGGACACTCAAACATTTCAGGGTGAAAAAACCCACACTTCCTTTCCCTCAGCTAGTAGATTAAAAACAAAAAAAAAAGGAATTTGTTTTTAAAACAAATTTAGAGTCCAGTGGCACCTTCTTAAAAGTTACATTTTCTTACAGCTGGACATAGGAAAGTAGTAGTTTTGCTATTCTTCAACATATCAGAAAGCAACTACAGTGCAGGAATACTGGATCCTCATTCTAGTTTTATGCATTTAACTAAACATTTCAGTCAGTCAAGTGTTAACATATTGCTACAAAGATGCATAAAAATAAAACAATTTCATATTCCTTTTGTCAAAGCATTTCTAATGGCAACTGAAATTCAGTGTCTACCAACCAAATGTGCTTGCTTTCCAAAAGAAATATGCTGGATACATGAGTTCCCTTCTTACAGTTATATCGCCAGTACCTGCACTGAGCTCCTTAATTTCTCATAATAAAAGACAAATTTAAAAAACCCCAGAATTTAGCAGTGTTGTTTCTCCTCTTAGAATAACTATTCATTCTTCTTGTTCTGGCAACTGAAGTTGCTGAATGACCAATCAATAAAGGTCATGCCATTCAGAGTCAATCAATTATTAT